CAGGCACAGCTGTGCACCCAGTATGTGTGTAGCTGGGGGGAGGCAAGCAAACAAGGCACTGGATCAGCTCCCAAGGAGCCTGGTTACATGATGGCAGCAGTGGCTGCTGCAGTAGCCCAGGCAAGTAAGATTTCCCTTCTGTTCACCCATGGCCACCCCTGGTCCTGCAGTGGTTGGCTTCCTCCCTCTTCCCTCCTGGGCATTCAGTGAGCTTCCTACACCTCTGGGGCAGGTAGGTACTCTGGCAGGAACTTCTGGCATCTGGTCATACTAGGAATTGACAGAGTCAGAGGCTCAGACTATCACCTTAAATGGTGTCCATCTCTTGTTGTAACACCTGAATTGCAGGAGGTGGTCATTTTTCTAAATCAATTAATTTTCCTTTAATTTCCTTTAAGTCTAATTTATTTCCTAAATCAATTAAAATGGAGAGCTTCCACTTGAACAAGCTTTTACTGCTGGTACTGGAAATATCTTAAGTAGGTGGTTTATGATGGAAACAGACATGTCCTTAATCATAGCAATGCTTGTGGGTGCCAATAACCACGAGACCAGTAGTTTAGATTAAGATGGATGACTTATTTTATACTCTTTGCATGCAAATCTTAATGCAAGTAACTTTTTATAGGAGGCAAGGCTTCTGCCCTTGTGATTTTATCCAAATTACTTGTTATTTTACAAGTACCGCCTCAGCTTGAAAAATATCTGGCTAACAAGAAATTCCAACTGATAATTTGCACTAGTCTTAACACAGACATGCTATATAATGTAATTAAACATTCCTTTCTATAAAACCTGACTCTTCATTTAAAGCTAAGCTATCTTTTTCAGATAACTAGTCTTGCAGAAAAATAAACGTCTGAGTCAAATTGATCCTTTAACTTACAATGTCTAAGGACATAATCCTCTCTGCCCTGTGGTCTGGTTTCATGAACATGCTATGGCATTTTTGTTGGCATTAATCTTGGAAAAACTCTGAGGCTCAGTCTTGTGTAATCATCTTGCATCTTGGCTGATACTGAACTGGAATAGAGGTTTTGAATGACTAATGCTTTATCTTAAAGTAATACGCTCGCACTCTTTCACTTTGTAGACCACTAAAGCATTCCTTCCCAAGATGCTGGAAATGAATCATGGACACATTGTGACAGTTGCAAGTTCCCTGGGATTGTTCAGTACTGCTGGAGTGGAGGTTTGTTGAGCTATTAAGCTAAATGTTTTCTTGAATGAGAAATACTTTCTTTCATCGGCTATGAATAAGTATGTAAGTGCTCCTCATACGTGAAACTTCCAGGCAAAGTGATTCAGGAGTAACTAGTGTGGGTGTTTTGTGGCAGGGGGTGGGGAGTTAAGGGGAGCATTGCCACTTTGAGAGGTTGGTTTTGGGGGAGGGAGGGGTTGTTGGTGTCTTACTGACATTGGATGCCAAAATGCTGAGCATCCTCTTTATTGTGCCTATTAAGATGTTCTTAGTTGAGCACTAAGCATGAACTGAAACTATGCAGTCATCTACAAATTGGTAATTACTGAAAAACCTGGCATGCTGGTGAAATGCTTAGTGGTATGAGCTTTCCTAGCACTGGCCCAGACTCTATCTGCAACTCTAAAATTGTTGATGTTACAGTAGTATTGGAGTTTAGAGAGAGAAGCTCAAGATCTCATTACAGCACAGGTTGACAACATTGTTGGGTGGAGTGCCAAAAAAAATTAGTGTGTCAACTTGTAAGACATTGGTGTACTGGGGTGGATGGCAGGGGAACAGCAAGGGGTCTGATCCTTCTTGTGGCAGTGCAGCCCCAGCTGTCTGCCCAGAGGTGCACATGCACCCATTGCTGGCACTGA